AGAGGACGGGGAGCCTGGAGATGTCTCATCCATAGGGTCACCATGGGTTGTGATCGACGCGCAGGCAGTTAACAACAACAACTAATCCTCAAACAAGTATGCCTTACTGTTAAAATAAATATTATGTGTTTTGCTTATACTGTATATCTCATGAGTAAGTATTGCACAAAAAATGGTTGCTCTAATGCATGTTCTACAAGATTTTATTTTTTTAAAAGAAACAAGGATATATACGACTTAAACCGACAAGCCATGCTAAACAAAGGATGTGCACCCTGGTGAGTCCTTCATCTGCAACTTGAGAAAAACCTAGATAGTGCTATAATGGTAACACAGGAGACTGCCACAAAACAGGCCTGCAACGGAACCCCTTCACACAATTATAGGTGAGTGATAAAATCTGACTCCCCTAAGAGCTTTCATGGAAAGTTCTCTTTTTATACAGAACAAGAGGATAGTTATCCTTAAAATACCTACAAAGATGGTCACCATCAGCAGATCTCAGAGGTGGTAATAAGACAATCTACCTTTCAGAGCTAACAAAGTTGTAGCAGGTCCACAAGCCCTGTTTTCCTGCTGTGTAATGGATCTCCTTCCTTAAATTCCTTGCCAAGTAGATCATCTCAATTTTAAACAACCTATTTTCTTGAAAACAAGAGCCTTTTCTACCACAAATACAGGAAGAAGTGACAGACCAGATATCCAAATGTTATACAAGAAATAATCTGATATAATTTGAACACTTTTATATTCTGATGTTGTTTTCTATGTGTACATTTTAATAAATGTAATTGTATTTTAATTTATAACTAAATTTTTATGTTTTTTATTAGTTTTAAAATCTGTTTTTTGCATTCTTCACTGATTGACAAAACTTGCTCTCCTCCTCACTTACTTGCAGGTGCCATTATTTTGTCAAATTTAAAGAATTACACATTTTTTAAAATACCAAAAATGTGGTCTATTGATTTATTTTGTATCTAAAACCAAATTCAAACTGACGAAAGTCTATTTGTTGAAACATGGTTCACTTTTAATTGTTTCGAAAACTGTTTTGTTTCATTTCCCCCCTTGGTTCTTATGGTCAAATTTGAAGAAATGCATTTTGCTAATTTACTGTCTCCTTTCGCCATAATCTTCAACAGCTAATATATACCTTTCTTGCAATTGTAATGGCGTATTTTTGCTGTTTGTTTTTGCAGGTCATCTTTGTAATGCACATTTGTAACTTGTAACCATAATAAAAGTTTTTTTTAAAAAAAAAAAAATCTTGTATATCCCACCTTTCTTCCACTTCAGGGCCCGAGGCAGGTTATGATATGAATTAAAATAAAACAGAGCTAAAATTTAATAAATTATTACACTAAAGAATATTTAAAAGCCAATTAAATAAACTAACATATCAAAGCCAAGCACTGAATTAAAACAGTATAAAAAACATTTTAAAACACAACAAGGAAGGGGGAAAGTGTAACACCATCCTTAAAAAACCCTTTCGCAACAACCAGTTAGTGGCCAAAAACCTATCTGATTAAAAAGGTCTTTCCCTACTGGTGGAAGGAGAACAATTCAGTTTCTCTTTTGTTGTCCTAATGTTTCTAACATGTCCAACTGGCAGAGATGGAGGATTTCCAGTCTCCTAACTATAGGCAAGCAGATCAAGTGCTAGACATGGCCTTATCCTTCTTTTTCTTATTTTTTTTTCCAGCCAATCCATGGTAAAACATTGTACTTGCAGAAATGTACGGTAAATATTTCAAACAGGGCTGGGGAGTAGTGGTGATTTTGGGGTTACTCCTTTTCCTACTCCAGAGTAAGACATTCTTTTTCTCCTACTCCTGTAAAAACTTTTTACTCCTTTACTCCTTACTCCTACTCCTACTCCGCAGCCCTGGTTTCAAAGAGCTAACCAGAGCAGTTTTGTTAAATTAAATTAAAACAAACAAACAAATCCTACAATGGTTAATAAACAGATGCCTCTCCATATTGACAGATACTGCATCCATGTATTCAATCATTCATGACTTGAAAATAATAATAATTTTCCCCCCAAAAAAGTAAATCTTGATTTTTCCATTTTTAAAATAAGGGACACCATTTTACTATACCACTGTATATAACTGGACTTAAGCATTCACAGATTTTGGTATCCATGGGGTATGCGTGCGAGTGCGGTCCTGGAACCAACACCAATGGATACCAAGGTCCTAGTGTATCTGGGAATAGGAATATGTTTGAAGAAGGCAGTGTAAAAATATCTTTCAGAAAAATATACATAGATTTCTAGTTGGCTGGGAAGACCAAGACTGGCTTGGGATCCATACTAATATTGTTGCAAAATTTAAAAAATCTTTATAACTTCTTTAAAACAAAATGTCTGGACCCCAAGTGACACACTAAGTAGATTTACATTGTACTAAATTTATGTGGAAATTAATTTCATTTCTATAGAGGAACTTGATAGGTTCTTTGAAATGCTGAAATAAAATCACTAAGGCATAGCCTTAAACTGGGGGGGGGGGGGGAGTTGCTCTTTTTGCAAGTTAAATCACTCTATGGAAAATTTACCATAATAATTATCTGTTCAATGAATAATGTATACTAGTAAGTCAATGGGAATCCAAGATGGATTTAGTGTCAATATTATTATAATGGCAAAACAAAACAGAGTTCCAAACAGCGCATCATGCAAATTCATACTATGCAACTGAAGTTAAAGATTAAAAACCTAGTTTGGTTCCCAAATGTTGGTCCTCCCAAGTGTTTTAGACTTCATTTCCCACAATTACTGACTGCTGGCCAAGCTAGCTAGGGCTTCTGGAAGCTGAAGTTCAAAATACCTGGAGGACCAAAGTTTGGGAAGCACTATCATAGAGCACCATTATGAGGCTGAAAATATAACTCGCTAATGGGGGACTATACTGGAAAGTATCTATTTACAGTGCAAAACCAAAACATCTATGATACCTCAAAATAAATAAATAAATAAATCCTAAGTTCTAATATTAAGGAGAAATTCTTATCCCTCTTTGTAGGTTAATGTTTTCCGAGACATGCGCATGAGACCCAACCCAGTATTTCAATATGTGATATGGAAGAATTGATGCACTGGGGAAAAAGGAGGTGGCTGCTAAAAAGTGATTTGGATTGAAGAAGGAATGTGTGTGCATTGGGACCTTCAGAAATATGTACACATATATACTAGCAGAAATATCCAGCTCCACAAGTGTTCGAAACCATAATCCAACTCAATGTCCTTCCTCTTTTCTTCGACCTACATCCCTTCTCTTTGTTTCTTGTTGGTTTTTCTGTTCCTCCACCCAGATGCTCATTCAGCCCCTCTCTCTCTGTCCACGTTCCCCCCATTTACAAAGAAGCAGACCCTCCCTCTGCTCTTTGAACTGTTTAAAGACTCTGGGGACCATGCAAAGAGAATAACCACATGTAATGGCTCATAGCCTTCTATCAGTTTGCCATTAGCTTCTTCTCTTCTAATTAGGGAAAATATTCCATCTAGTGAGTGAAGACAGTACTGCAGGTTACAGACAAATATTGATTGACTAAAGTTAATTAAGAACAAAATAACCTCCAAGTGGTTCATCCCTAAGATCTCTTTACTATTCATGTAAAGTTTCAGGGGTCCAAGTTTCACAGTTTAAGAGCCATGGTGGAGACAAACAGACACACAGATAATTTTACATCATTATAAGCTGAATATTAGAACCAAAAATTTAAAAGAATTTAAAGAATTTAAAAGAAAGCAACATTAAAATGTTTTTTAGCGCTCCTTTCAGGGGCAGCGAAGCTGCGCCGCGGGGCAGAGGAAGGGGGATGCCTCAGCCCCGATCCGCAGCTTCCTGGGGCGGCCCCGTGCCGCCCGTCTGCTTCCCCCCATCTGCTGATGTACTATGTTGCTGTAACAAATGACTTTTAAATGTATTAACTAAATGGCTTTCTAACCTCTGGAGTGCATATACACACATGTGGGTAAATAACAAGTGTAGAATTATTTTATCTCTTTCTAAATAAAAACGTGCAAAACTAGATACACCATTTAGCCATTTGATAATTTTTGGAAAAAAATTAAAAATCTGGACAATGCCCTCCCCTAAATCCCACATAAAACCTTTCGCAGATGTAAAGGAAAATATAATACATTAGTCCAGCCCAGCACTTCAAAGTTTACTGAATCAGTCATCTTTGTGAATTGTTAAAGTTGCTTTTGTTTTCCTCTGCCACTGATCTTTCCTGTGGTTTATGTAGCAGGGTTCTTTTCTTTGTTGTTTAACTTGTTAAAAAAGTACAGATATAAAGCCAAAAATTTGGAAGCTCACATAACACCAAACTAGTCCCACTCACTGTAGCATAGTTTTAAACTGCTGTGAGAGCATGCACATGATTATGCATACTTCTTAAACCACTGCGACAGCAATTGTTCCTAAACAGTGCTTTCTAACTTATTAAAACCCACCTGTAAGTGGTGCAATGGTTTGAACATTGGACTAAGACTCTGGGAGACCAGGGTTCAAATCCTGGCTCAGACATGGAAACCCACTGCAGGGCAAATCACACTCAGTCTCAGATGATGGCAATGGTAAACTCCCTCTGAAGAAATTTGCCAAGAAAACCCTAGATGGGGTCACCATAAGTTGGAAACAACCTGAAGGCACACAACAACGGCAACAAATGCAATGAACTAAGTTTAAAGTGAAGCAGTGTCTTAGGGGGGAT